ATGCTTAGGGCAGTTTATGGTGGGGAGGGAGGGCAGGGTGATGCTTAGGGCACTGAGCACGCTAGGCCCCATCTCCAGTGTGCCAGAAACCTCCCATGCATTAGTTTCCTGAGAGCCACCCAGTGCCCAAAATACCCACAGAGCCAAGTGCCCACCTTTGTGTCTGTTTTGCTTGTGGGCGGCATCCAGGAAGTTTCTGAGAGACAGAAACACTCATCCTACTCTCTCGCCCCACTGGGACTGTGACTCATTTTTTCTGACAGATCCTCCTCTGTTTGTCATACCTGATTCTGGTTTGCTTCATATCCTGGGGGATTCTGAGAACAAAGCTCCTTCCTAAGGTGGGCTCTGAGAGTTTACTCCCTGCAACTTTCGGTCCAAATATGTTGCCAATGGGAGACCCTGGACAAATTCTGTTACCTCTCACCACGTACCACACCCCCCTCCTCGCCCAAGTTTTCTTTTCTATAACTCAGAAGTATCAGCTAATGACCTGAATACCTCATCTTGAAAGGTAAATTGAGTGAAGTAATAAGTGTGGGAGCTGTTTGGAAAGTTGAGAAGTGCTGGAGGAGGGAAAAGGGATCCAGTGAACAACAACATGGTAGCCCTGGGCAGAGCCTGGCATCTGGTATGAAGTGCCTCCAACAGCCAGCAGGGGGAGACCTTCCCAAGCACTAGAGAAACCTGGGGGCCATCCCTTCCCACACCTAACTGGGGGTATATTTGGATCAGGCACAGAGGTTGGCTTCTGTAGGCTCTGGGTACTGCTGCCCTAACCCCCTGTGCTTCCTGGCCGCCCTGTGGGGAAAGGGCAGTGATGGGGCCATTTCTCAGGCACATGCCTTACTCCAGGGGTCCTGCTTTCTAGCTTCAGTCAGGCCAGGCAATGCCACACACTCACCAGTATACCACCACTGTGTGCTTCATGTACTTGAGTAGTTTCTTGGTCTCAAACAGCAGGGGGATATCCAGAATCACGTAGCGGTATCCTGGAGAAAAGATGGGAAAGCCACAAGCTCAAGTCTGCAAGCACACACTAAGGACTATGTGTTAGGCATGGGAACATAGTTGAAGCTACTGGCTCCTACCAGTGAAAGCTCCCCAACAGAGGGGGATAGGCATAACCTGAGAGCTAGCCAGTTCCAAAGCCATTCAGAACAGAATGCTGCAGAAAGTAATTTTTGACTGGATGAGCAGGTAAGACCTTATAGAAGGAATGGCATCTGTACTGGCTTTGCAAAGGAGGTAGGACTTTTGATACTTGAAAATGAGTGGTTGAAAGTGAGAGTTCCAGGAATGGGGAACAGCAAATCACAAGGATCAGCAAGGTCCTATTGCTCTGGCTGAAGTGGAGGTCTTGAGCAGCATGAGGCAAAATTGACGAGGTGGTCAGGCAGGCCCAAAGCATTGAGTTCACCCTGACCCTGAACCCAAAGAGTTGTTATTTCTGAACATGGAAATGACACAGCCAAAACTGTAGGAGACTGGGAAGAATCTGCAGGAGTAACTGGGTCCTTTCCACCCTACTTGTGCCAGGTCCAAGCCTGCCTCCCTGCTGAAGAAGAATCCCGTATGGCTACCTCTACCAGCTCTCCACAAGAGACTCACATGTGGATTGCAGCCATCAAGAAAGGGGCTGCTTCTTAGGGTCAGAGGCAGACCTCCAGCCTGGGATTGGAGGGACAGGGCTGGAGGTGTTGCAGTGGTTATGATAAATACTAAACTAACTCCAGTGGGGTAAAAGCACTGGCTGGCTCTTCCACGACAAGCCAAGTCAAGTCAAGGGCGGCACCCTCACCCACTGTGAGTGGGCACATCCCTGGGCTGCCCACCCAGGAATACCGTGGGCTCCACACTCCTAGTTCTCTTTAAGCCAGTGACCCATGTAGGTGTAATAAAGCTGGTGGGGGTCCAGAAGCAGTAAGAGGAAGGGACGGGCACTGCTCTGCCTACAGACTCCTGCCTGGCTTACATGGTGTCCCACTGCAAACACTTCCAACCACAGATCCAGACACATATCACACGAATTCCAAGTGTGTCACAGGGAAACTCGCACTCTAGGTGATGCAGGGAACAGAGTGACAACACAAGCTACTGGGTTTCCTGTTCCCCAGGATCTGTTGCTCAGGAAGACTTCAATTGAATAAGGAGTTAAGAGAACGGGCTTTGATGACATGCTTGGGTTTGTAACGCCCCACTTTCCTACCATGTGACTTTGGGCCCCTTAATAAACTTCATTTGGCCCGGCCGGGCGTGGCTCAGCGGTTAAGCGTCGACCTAGGATCCAGGCGATCAGGGTTCGATTCCTGGTCAGGGCACATGCCTGGGTTGTGGGCTGCAGCCGATCAATGACTCTCTCATCATTGATGTTTCTAGCTCTCTCTCTCCCTCTCCTTTCCTCTCTCTGAAATCAATAAAGATATATTTTAAAAAAAAATAAATAAATAAACCTCATTTGGCCCAGCCAGCGTGGCTCAGNAAAAAAAATAAATAAATAAACCTCATTTGGCCCAGCCACCGTGGCTCAGCGGGGTAAGCATCAACCTATGATCCAGGAAGGATATCAAGGTTCAATTCGGTCAGGGCACATGCCCGGATTGTGGGCTCAATCCCGAGCAAGGGGTGTGCAGGAGGGAGCCGATCAATGACCCAACAGCTGGTGATCTTATCTGACGTTTGATTATACGAAGATAGGTTCATCTTGCAGAAACATCAAACTCATCATTGATGTTTCTATCTCCCTCTCCCTCTCCCTTCCTCTCTCTGAAATCAATAAAGACATATTTAATAAATAAATAAATAAATAATAAAAATAAACAAACCTCATCTGTGTAAATGAATGAAAAGACTACCCACTTCACAAGATGGGAAGGATTAAATGAATGAAGTCATGTAGACCACACAGCAGCCCCTTACCCAGACCCTCACTAAGTGCTCCATAAATGCTGGCTATTATTACTACCGTTCCCTGAGGAGGAAGGCCTGCAGTGCTGGCTCCCCCGCTCCCCCCCAACTCAGAACAGGAGCCAGGGCCAGATCCTCTCTGGGCCTCTTATCTCTCTTTCCTGCTCTGCTCCCATTCCTTCCTCTCCCTTCACTGTCCTTTCTCCCCAGCCCCTCTCGGGAGCTCGTGGCCAGTCCTTTGGTTCACCAGCAAAGGGCTATTCAGCTGTCACATCCCTCCTGCTTGATAAGCTCTGCAAACTAACCTGACTCTATTAAGACATCCGTCTGCCTACACAGAGACCTCCCCAACAGCTGGTGATCTTATCTGACGTTTGATTATACCAACTCTGACAGTTGTATTTGTTATAGTCATCAGGGAAAAACTGGGACTGTGGAAGCCACAGCTGTCCCCATTTTTCACCTTATCGAGCTGAAAAGAGCTTTCTGGCTTTTATTTAAGTGGTGGTGGTTGGGGAGGGGGGCTGGGTGGATGACACTGCGGGAGAACTTTGGAGCGGGTGACATTATCCGACGCTTAATTTCATAAGGGGAAAGCCATTGTTGTCTCAGAGCCCAGCAGATGTACTTGCAACTGGCCTGGGAGTGAACGCAAAAGGGCAGGAATAAAAGGCAGAAGGCTTCACTCCTGGGTGGGGACAGGAAGGGATCCTGGCACCCACACAAGAGGGATGACAAAGGGAGAATCTAGAGACTCTCCTTGAGGAAGGAGGAAGGGAGGTAGGCCTGCGGGAAGGTACTGAGATGCAGAGCAAAAAGGTGATCCAGCAGAGAGGGTGCCTGGAGCCAGATCCCACCCTGGCCAGAACTGGGGAAGGTAGGTCAGCACCATGGATGCTTGTCAAGTCATCCCTTTCCTTCTGGAGAAAGGTTCTGGCCAGAGGGGGTGGGGTTCCCCACTCTATATATGAACTTGACTCCTGAGAAAGTAAGGGGTTTGGACATGATCGCAGTGCAAAAGCCAGAAGAAAACCTAGAAGCCACCCTCATACCCTCCAGGAAGGAAAGTCTCAGCATCATGACTGACAGTGGGGAGACAAGCAGCCAGGCCTTTAACACTGAGACCAGACTGGAGGCCACATGTGCCAAAGGCTGCAGGGGGCCCTAGGCCAGCCTCTCACCTGATCCCAAGCCACTGCTCTCTGCTCAACCACTTTTGGTGACTGGCTCCATCATGGACAGTAAGTATTAGGTCACCCCTGCCCAACACAGTCCTGAAGAAGGGGATTTGAAATGTGCTGTATAGTTTGGGAAAGGCTAGCAACAGCTGTGGAAGGTGCTTGCCGACTGACCACAGACCCCTACTTTTCAAACACTCTTCCCTTCTTTCAGTCCCAGCAAGGCACCTGGCTGTCTCTGTACATGCCAGGCTAACTCTCTCCATGGAGCCCTAGCCTCAAAGGATTACTCTCCACTTAGAACCCCTCCACCACCTGCCCTGGCCACCCTGGATCCTCTCCAATTTCCTGTCTGCAAACTCACTTTCCCAGGAGGCTTGACCAGCACCAAATCTGACTCTGACTGTGGTTTCTATTTGTGGGGTGATGAACAGTCACTGATGTGGACTCTGAAGCTCCCTAACAGCTTTGCAAGGTTGGCATTATTAGTCTCACTAAGCAGATGAGGAAACAGGCACAGGGGTTGGCTCATTGACAAAGTCAAACAGCTATAAATTGTGAGGGTGAGGACTTAAACCCAGGTCTTATGATCCCATTAATCATCAGCTGTTATTCCCATCCCTACTAGAAAAATCAACTTACTTCCTGGGGATCATGGCTCAAAAGCCTCAAGTGTCTCTTCTCATTAAATTGTCAACCTCCTTAAGAGTTGAGGGACATGTGCTTCTTTCCTCTGGGACTGGTACGGGGCTCTGCATGGGGGGTGCCAATAAACAGTGTGAACTCTACAGCCTGGATATCCAGCTCCCCACCCCACCCATCCCACCAACCTTTCTGCAGAGGAGAAGGGCGCTGGCCCTGGAAGGAGAGGGCTTTGCCCACCCCTGTCCCAGGCCCTGGGTCTTACCCCGAAGGAAGTACTTGAAGGTCTCCTTCATCATTTCCTTTTGGATCTCAGGGTGGGTGATGGTGTTGAGCAGATGCCGCCGGTCAGGCTGGTTAAATATCAGGTCCCCCAGGACCTTGCGATTGATGTCTCCATTCTCCAACAAGACTTCAGTGCCAAAGGCCTCCACGATGCGCCGGTGGGCAGGGCATCCTGGCTGGACAACTGTGGCAAGGGAATAAGATGGGGTCACTCTTTGGAGCCTCTAGGCCAGCCAGAGGACCCCAAGTGACTAGAGGCAAAATGATGGGGGAACCCAGGGTTGCTTCTTTCAGTTAACGAGGGGAGGAAAAGCAGTTAAGGAAGAGAACAAAGTACAGAGAATCCCTCATGTTGGTCATGGGGTGAAGGGAAGGAGAGGGGATGTCTAGTGAAAGGGAGGAATAAAGAGAAAAGCAGGAGGACGAGCATGGGACAGGGAGCGGGACAGGGTCGAAAAGAAAGTCTTCCCTCCTCTGAGGCCTTGGAAGGCTTTATAAGAAGGAAGCACAAGGGAGCTGCCATGTATAACCCCACAACCCGAACCCTCCAACTCACCATGTCGGGCGATGACATCAACATCAATCACTGCACAACCCAGCTGCTGGAACACCTGGATCACTGAGCTCTTGCCTGAGGCAATGCCCCCTGTCAGGCCCACCAGGAACATCTTCCCAGGAAAAAGGCCGGCAGTGAGACGAGACCAGACGTCAGATTAGGGAAAGCTCAGCCAATCAGGATGAGCCACCACAGGAATTCCAGAAGGACCTGCCTGTGGGACAAGAGCAGGCCTGGTCAGTGCTGGGAGAGGAAGGCAGAGGAAGGGGAGGGAGAAACAGCCTGGTTGGGGAGTCAAGCCTGGAGCTTGGGGAGCTCTGGGTCCATCCTGAAACAGAAAACTCAGGAAAGGCCTCTGGTATTCTTTTAAAAACACTCATAAAGAAGGCAAACGAACATAGTCTAAATTTAGCAAAGTGCTGAGGAGGCAGAACAAGGTCAGGTGCCATTAAGCAAAGTGTGCTTTCTAGGAGGTGGCAGTAACTGATATAGGCACACTTCCAGTAGGAAGGGGACACCTGTCCGTCTATGGTGAACCCAAGGCACTTCCAGATGCCCACAGAAACAAGTCCCCCCTTCCCAGCCTCTACTTTTTTGTTAAATTGATTTTAGAGAGAGGATGGGAAAGGGAAAGAGAGAGAGAGAAACATCAATGTGAAAGAGAAACACTGACTGGCTGCCTCTCACATGCACCCCAACCGGGGATTGAGCCTGAAAGCTGGGCATATGCCCTAACTGGGAATGGAACTGACAACCTTTTGGTGAACAAGATGACGTTCAACCAACTGAGCCACATGAGCCACTTTCTAGTCTTGAACACCTAGGTTCACAGAAAGAAATGGCCAGCCTGCCCCACCCTAACACCAGCAGGACTATCTGGGTGGCAAGTCTAGATTGAGATGAGTAATCCCTCCTCCTTAGCTAACAAGGGGGCCAGATGGGAATCTCAACGGCAAGCAGTGGTTCAGTGGCCACTAAACCTGAGGTTTAGAGAAGTATGGATCTTGCCATGAAGAAATGTGAGGAAAGGATAACAGGCTTGGGGGGATAACTTTGAGCTTGGTGTAACTTGCGGTTCTCACACTGAGCAGCAGTAGTACAGCATGAAGGTAAGGAGCATGGACTTCTTCAAATCCAGTTCCTCGCTTACATGCTGTGCAACCCCAGGCAAGACACCTGCCTCTCTGAAGCTGTTTTCTCATCTATAAAATGCAGAGTGACATTATCTGCCTCCTAGGCTGTCATGCAGACTAAATGAGAAAATGCTTATGAAGCTCTTGGCACGCTGTCTGATAAAGGAAGTGAGGATGGTGATGTGGGGTGGAAGGTGGGGGTTACAGTCAGACTGCAAGAAAAAAAGACTTTCATGAAGTTAGGTCCCCATTCCTCTAACCTCAAGACTACCTAACAATATATTTTTTAAATAGTCATGTTGTAGCCCTGCCTGGGTAGCTCAGTTGGTTAGAGAGTCGTCCTGATAGGCCAAGGTTGTGAGTTTGATCCCCCGTCAGGGCACATACAAGAATCAACCAATAAATAAATGGAACAATAAATTGATGTTTCTCTCTTAAAAAAAAAAAAAAGTCATGTTGCATTATCTGGAGTAAACAGGGTTACCATGTCGTGAACTTTGGTAACCCTGGATGAAAGTAATTAAATTCAAGGCTAAGTCTTCCCATTCTTCCTTCAGTGTCAAATGATGTCTCCAGGACCTTGAAATCTGTCATGACTTTTTGTTGTTGTTAAATAGCAGATTTACTGTCCTAATTACACTTTGCTTGAGCTTATACTGAAATGAGTTTGCTACCCTGAGGACACACCAAATGGCAGGGGAAGGCAGCTGTTTAGATGTGGGCTGAGTGCATGGGTGGCTTGGAGCATCACGGGGACCAACCTAAAAGTTTAAATCTACCCAGGCTCATTATCACCCAGGGAAGCCAGGGGCGGAGAGAGGGAAATATCCACCAGCTTTGTCATCCAAATGGAGAGACCTAAGTTATTAAACCATTTACAAAGCATTTCTCCTCAATCTGAGACTGGAGTCGTCCCCAGGTGGTCTCCCTCCAGTTTACAAAAAGGATTTAGGATAGGGTTCAGTTGCCAAAACAAAAGTTCGTCTACACAGCTGAAGTTTGACATGGAGAATCCAGCAACAGCATTGTTTTGTTTGTTTTAACCCACACCTGAGGATACTTTTTCCATTGCTTTTCAGAGAGTGGGAGGGAGAGACATCGATGCGAGAGAGATGCATCAATTGGTTGCCTCATGCACTCCGACAGGGGCCGGGGATCGAGCCTGTAACCGAGATACGTGCCCTTGGCTGGAATCGAACTCAGGACCATTCAGTCTGACGCTCTAACCACTGAGCAAACCAGCCAGGGCAAGCAACGGTGTTTTTAATCCCAACTCTGTCTTGTTGTCTCTAAAGCAATGAGTCCGCTACTCTTTTGTTGAAGACCAATCTGAAACAATGGGAGTAGGACTTGAGAATAGGTCCTGGTGGAGCAAAAAGGCTAAGGGCAGTTCTCCACAAAGCCCTGACCTCTTGACCTTAAAAGCAAGCCACTATCACAGGTCAGTGGGGCTTTGCCAGAGTTGGCTGAAGGGACTATAAGGCCATGTGGCTGAGACTTTACCCCCTGCCCACCCACAGAAACCTACTGAGTCAGAATCCTGGGGATGGTGGTGCCCTGGCAGTTCTGCTGTGTAACAGGGCTTGGGATCAACTCTAACTCTTCACTTACAGAGGCAGAGATGATCAGAGAAGGGAAGGGGCTTGCCCAGAGCCACAGCTGTTAGTGGAGCCTGGATGGAATTCAACACTCCTAACTCTGAGTCTAGACCCCTGCCTTTCTATATTCAGGGAATGCAAATTAATTTACCTTTAGACTAGGACAAAATAAGGACGGTGAATCTGTCTGCAGGCAAATCAATTCAGAGCCAAAGAAAAATGATTTATGATCATATTGGTACTTCCTCCCCACTGGCAGAATAAGGGTGGGGTCTTACAGGGAGTGGACAGCACAGGTGTGAATTCCAGGCTCAGCTCTGTCCCAGAGGCCTGGGGTAACCTATCTTCCCTTCTCTGTGCCTTGGATGACCATCTGCGGAAACAGACCAACAGCTGCTTGGCCTCTGTTAGGAAGGCCAAGGGGATGGAGGAGCACAGGCCCTGGCCCCTGGGTNTCTCTGTGCCTTGGATGACCATCTGCGGAAACAGACCAACAGCTGCTTGGAAGGCCAAGGGGATGGAGGAGCACAGGCCCTGGCCCCTGGGTTTAAAGGGGCTGGACAAATACAGCTGTTCCTGTTTCCTCTATAACTTACTCCCTCACTAACCACCGACTGAGCTCCTCCGGGCTTTGTGGCATGATACCTGGGACTTCTCAGGCAACCAAAGGAAAACACAGGCCTTGCCCTCAGGAAAACTGGAGAGACGGACAGTAGCAAATGAAACCTGCTGACAGGCAAGCAAGAGTAGNCCAAAGGAAAACACAGGCCTTGCCCTCAGGAAAACTGGAGAGACGGACAGTAGCAAATGAAACCTGCTGACAGGCAAGCAAGAATAGTCATATGGTACACACCCTGGGCCTGGGCGTGTGTGTGTGTGTGTGTGTGTGTGTGTGAACTCACTCACAGATTTGCTCACAAATCTGTCCAGAAGGGAGCTGCAAACAATAAGAGCCCACTGTCCCTCAAGGCTTATCAAGAAAAAAATGAAGGCTTGGGTTCCAAGCTGTCTCCAAGTCCCACACAAGCCTGTCCCCACAGCTCCTCCCGAGGCACCCATGGAGAAGTGACCACCCTTGATAACCTCTGATGACCTTCTTCCTGCCCTGGTTCAAGTCATCCTTCTCCAGAATCAGCTCATTTCTTCTTATTCCACGGAGAAACTCCTAAACCTGGCTCTGACCTGAATCCCCTAGGAAACTTTAGAAAAGGTACAGAAACCCAGGCCCCACCCAGTGCACTGAATCTGAATCCGGGATGGGACCTAGCATCCCAGCCAGCCAGGCACCAGAGCCACTGCTAAAATGGAAAGTTGTGGGCTGAAGTAGAGAGGCCTGGGTCCCAGTCTCTGAACTCTGCCACAGAACTACCTGTGTGACTGCAGAAATCATTCTCACCAGCCTGGCCCAGGGTGGTAAATTTGGGGTAAGCTGAGTCCCAGTCATCTGCCTTTCTTTGAACCTTNATCTGCCTTCCTTTGAACCTCGGTCTCCACACCTGTAAACAAGGGAAGAACTGGACTTCCAGTGCTAATACCAGCATCAGCTCCTGGGGGAGGCTGTGACTCACACTGGTGCCTTCTTTCTCTGAAAGTGCTCTTCCCAGAGCAGTCAATAAATGCTCACCAGAGTAACCAAAGAATGACATGATCTTGGTGGCCTGGGAATCTTCCCCCTCCACACCCAAAGCTGTTAACAGAAGTGGCTTGGCTGGAGGAGGAAGGACAAATACCAGGTCCCATAGTAAGAGAGAAAAGCTAATGCCCAGTCCAAGAGTAAGGGAAGCTGGATTCCACAACCAACCCTAGGCCTGGCAGTCATCAGTCAAGATGGGCTCTAATCCCAGGGGAGCCATATCTGATCCTTTCTTTTCCCTTCTCTGTGTCGGAGGAGAGGCAGCAGGGTGTAAAGAAAAGGTAAGGACTAGAGCCAGAGAGGTGGGTCTGCAGCCTGTAAAGAGGAGCACAATTCCCCTGTGCTCCATAGATGGCAGGCCCTCTCACTGAGCCTCTCTAAACTGCCTTTCGGGTTTTACCTCTTGGGCCCCAATAGCCTGGAGAAGACAAAAAAATCCCTTCAGGGAAGAATGGCCTCTCTTAGAATCTCCTTGGCAGTGTTTCTTAGGAGAAAATAAGAGTGGCTGCTGCACAGGCTTCCAGAGAAAAAGCCCCACTGCTGAGTGCTGTCTGTGGAATTCTGCTAACCTAAGCCACTAGCACCTCACCCAGACCTCTGCAGTCACCTCTGACCTGCCTCCAGTCCCTGCCTTATTTCTCCCAAGGTGGCAACGGTCATGGCTTCAAGGACATCTGATTATGTCACTCCCCTAATTAAAACCTTCACTTCATTCCCCACCCGCACCCCCAGGCCCTCAAAGAAGTCTCTGGGCCCCATGTGACCTACCCATTATCCAGCCCTCCACTCTTAGTCACTCCTGTGCTTGTCACACACCTGCCTTCTGTCCCCGAACATGCAGGCTCTTTCC